CTTCAAGTACATACAGTGGCAAGAAGGATCAGTGATGATCACCGCCGGTGACGAGAAGCATTGAGCTATCACCGTCTGATCCAAGGCACATTTCCAGAACTGTGGCAGGCTAGCACGCCACATCTTTAAATGAATTGGTTCTTAAACATAAGTCCAGGTTTAATTTGTAAAAGGACATGGCTAAGAAATGCTCAATCGGAAAAAATAGGGCTAAATATAGTCTCACCTCACAGCGGATATACAGTAAAATCACATAAGTAGTCATCGTCTAACTCGTCAATTCGCATAATGCGTCGTGGAAGTCATAGCCCAATTTTTAGCTCATCCGACATAGTCAGATGCAGCTTGTAGAATCGCGATGAGCGTGCGTGCGTCCGTCCGGCCGTGCGTGCGTCCGTCAACAGTTGGGCACAAATCTAAACGGCTCGACCTAGGCTCGTGATAGTCAGTGTATAGCATCATGGTAGGAAAAGCCATCACTGTGCCGAAATTGGAGGTCCCAGGTCAAAAGTCAATGGGACACAGGGCAGATTAGACATTTTCTGAGGACATGGTCTGACGGAGCGATTGAAAAACTTTTTTGTTTCAGCGGTGACCTACAATTTTTATGGCTTTTACTGCATACAACTGTACTTACTGTATAACAATCGTCATATCCCACACGTATTTCTTACCAGATACCTAATTTAATTGTTATAATTAATTACACATCAACGCTACGAAATTTGAACGGCGCCATTACACCCGCAACCATGCTGCCACTCGAAAAAGTTGCGTAATTGACAATTATTTTGCCTGTTACAGACCGGGCGCACTGATTCGGTTGCCAGCGAGTTATTAGAAGAATACCTGGCTACAGTACAGTTAGTTGAGCGCTGTCGCTCTGCGGCACTTGTCGCTCATAGTAAATCAATGGATAACTCAAGAACCGTTTCACCCACATGTTTCAAGTTGCAATACAGTTGTTACTCATATGGGAGATATGCTATATAATTGGAGTTCTCCCATATATACTCTTTATATATTGCTTTATATATCCCCCTCCCTCTTCTATCACATCCAAGGTGAGCAACACAAAGTTTTTGCAACGGACCGCCCGACGACAGACTCCCGTATACAGAGTAGATAATTAGGGAAGGAGTGTGACATCAATAAACAAGGGAAATCGTCATTTACTAGCCTTATAATACCTACGCATTTACTACGCGTAACTCATCCAACTTGAGCTCAAATCGTACACATACATTCGCCTAGCATCGTGCGAAATCGTTTCCTCGTATACACCCGCAATCCGGAGATACAGACTAAAACGTATACGCCATCAATCCAAATCCATTGCCCGCCTCTATTCAAACAAAGGCAGCTACTAACGCGCTATTGCTAACTCGGCGGGCAATGTGGATAATCGTGTCGTACGTTTATAGTCTGTTATCATCGGCGGAAATTGCGGAGTGCGTATACGGGAGCGAAACGATATTCGCACGATGCCTAGCGGCGAATGTACTGTGTCCGATTTGAGCTCAAGTTGGATGAGTTACACGTAGTAAATCGTAGGTATTATAAGGCTAGTAAATGACGAATTTCCCTTGTTTATTGATGTCACACTCCTTCCTTATTACCTACTCCTGCCGTATACCGATATATCCGCTGTGAGGTGAGAGTATAGTTTGCTATATTTTTTGGCAAAAATCTCGTAATACAGGTACAACAAAATAGCTAAGCTAACCGGTCTGCTTTAAAGCCGGTGTAGACCCCGTGAGGGTTCGGATATCGATCCCTCACGCTCCACACGCAGCATGATGGAATTACTCGGCGCATTGATCGGCCGAGTACTCCATGCTGAAGTAAAGTGTACAGCCGATATGCAGCGTGCCGCTTCGGCTTCAATGGATCATCCGGATCCGATTCATATCCCCCAAGCACATCACTGCGGTAGAGCTCAAACGCCGCTAAATAGACGGGGTCGAGTACCATTCCACACAAACGCTGTAATGAGAGAAGTACAGTTTTTGAGCAATGTTAGCACAACAATGTGAAAAATATAAAGGTAAAAAAAAAATCAAAGTAAACCTACAAGTAGGGATATGGGAAACTACGTGAAGACAGATTAATCCCCGTTTCATGCTAAAGTTGTTGTTTTTTGCGAATGTTGTTGCGGACTTATGTGTGACTATTAGTGAAATTATTCATGCAAGTTCAGGAAAGCAGATAACGTTACTTTAGTAACTAATTCAGTGTTGTAGTCGAGTCCGCACTCCCCGAGTCCGAGTCCGCGCCACCCGAGTCCATGTCCGAGTCCACACCACCAAAGTCCGAGTCCAGTTTTGATTAAAAAAAAGAGAAAAAATCGGAAAAAAGGAAAAAATCGGGGAAAAAAAGGGAAAAAATCGGAAAAAAGGGGAAAAACAACTCTGGTAACTATTAAAACTTACATCTTCTCTCGACAAACACTCATCCGGCTGATGCCCGCAGCAACACCGCTCCACTTCTGTGGGCATTTCTCGGCAGCTGCCACACCTGCACCATGAAGGAGCATCCCCGGATGGTGTCGGGTGATGTCCACCCGGCGCAGGTGTGTGGAGGTTGCATGTCCACAGCAGAATCTCAGGATGCTTACGTGCTAAAGTTAGCAGTAAGGCCCTCGATTCTGCCATGGACATGCTCTCCAGGTGGTCCTATTGATTAATAAATAACAATACAGTTTTTCTGCATTCCTCTATTGAAGAAATGTCTATTAGTATTATTCTAATATGTTGCAAGTTTTATCACAGTAATAAAGTTAATTTTCGAGCAACCGCACGTATACCTTGGCAGTGTAAATACAAATCTGCACCTTTTTGAAACAAAATCTGCAATTCGTTAGTAAATGTTTGCAAGTAATTTGTAATTCTGTGTGTTGTAAATAAGCTGCTGCTACATAGTTATGTTAACATTACTAGTGAGTCGGTTGTTGTAAAGATACGCTATGTAAATTTTAAAATAAGTAGTGCTAATCTCAAATGTGTACTCATGTATAAGTATAAATATAAATGCACAACTTGTTGTCTGCAAAAAAGTGATTATGCTGTGTATTCTAGACACAATTTTGCGATGTGTAAATAATGTAATTTTTATATGTGAAAAATGTCTTATGTCAAAGAAGGGTATTATATTGTGTTCATGGGGCAAGGATGGAAATCAGTAAAAAACAGTTGATATGCACTTTTCAATCATAAAGCATGTAAATGTACTTCTTTGGAAGCTCATCTTTATCTACTATGCATTGATATTACGTTAGTAACGTTACTATTAAGTTTATTTACGTTATAATACGTTGCTATTTACCTCTAGCAATTTCTGCCTTGCTTCTCGCTGTGTGTGGGCATCTTGGACAGCCTGTGCTGTTTGGCTCACACTTGCTTGCCTGCCTCCTCTTCCTCGTCCTCTTCCCCTTCCCCTTCCTCTGCCCCGTGTCGCTCTCTTCCGCTTTGGAGATGGTTGGGCCTCCTGTTTCATTCAAGGACTAACATAACGATTGCTATTTTCCGAGAAAGAGTAATTTACATCTCATTTCATTCTATTACTTAGTGTAACTCAAAAGTCAATGAAAGGCGTCATACCGTTAACAGCCCTTACGATGCAGGGGCTAAAATCTCAATTGAAATAACTTCTTATGTACCTATATTCTGTTACGAAAATGAGATTCCTGAAGTCGGTTTCTATATAAAGGCAAAGCTCATGTTTTGTTGGTTACTTACACCCAACGAGGTACTACAGTTTTTGCTATAACCTGAACCGTTATTGAAATAACATGCCTATGGGGTATGCGTTTTATTAAAAAAAAACACTGCAAGTTGCAAGTCTGGATCTGGATAGTTTACTGCGTAGCCTACGGTTACGTGAATTATAACGCAGGGCTATAGCTAGCTCCAAGAAACGGTATTGCTAGGATTAGAATACCTATAGACATATAGACAATCCGTCGCACAGCCTGGTCGGGCTAGGCTATAGCTAGCCTAACCCGACCAGGCTGTGCTCACACCAATCGCGGCGCGCGTACGTACGCGCTTCACGCACCGACCACGCACTACACGCACGGCGCACGCACGACG